ATGATTCAAACACCTTCTCCCCGGTTTGCCGTCTGGCACGCGGGGCTCTGCAGAGCAGATGGATGCTTTCCCTTGGAGTGATCTGGGTGGCCGTTCTGAAATTAGGTTCTTTTCACTCCCACTCATTGCTGAACTCCCCTCCCTTTTACTGCACCCCTGTGTTTTTGTTTTAAGTGCTATCCTCCCCTGCTTTATGCCCTTCTATAAGATGAAGACCTCCAGCATCACCAGCGCTCTCAGCATAGCAGCGGTGAGTGTTTGCGTAGCTGCTGGTGAGGCTGGCAAGGCACCGTCTGCTGTGCGGGAACTGAACAAGGGGTCTCTGGAGCTCTCGGGGCAGGGGGTCACAGCAGCTGGAGCATCAAACAGTACCGCTGGGCAGCTCACCCCACGCAGCACCCTTTAAGGAGAAGCGCAGAACGCCGGTGAGATGTGTGTTCAGCTACAGCCGTTGGGCTTGAAGTAAATGCAAGCAGCTGCCTAGTGCATCCCCCCTCCCCAGGGATGCTCTGCCCAGGGTGAGACCACCGAATTCAGTCTGTTAAACACACAGCGAGCAGCTGGGTGATGAGCACGGCTGAGTTATTAGACTCTAATTAGCCAAGCCAGGGAAATCTATCATCCGAGTGGTTTTTCTCGGTGGCTTGGCTTAGGCAAGCTCCAGGCGTCGTAGCAGAGCTTACGTTGTTCGGAGCACCCCGAATGCTTTTATTCCTGCAAACCCAAGATAACTGTGTGGATGCTCAGTCCGTGCGGCATCCCTATGGGACCCAAAGGCTCTGATATCTAGCACGCTGACTGTGGGTTGCAGGCTGATGTCCCCAGTTTGCTTCCTCAAGCAAGTGTGTTGTCATATAATAAGGCTTCATCTTCATCCAGTTGCTTGCTGGATAGAAACACGATGTACATTTGATCTGGCAAATGTGTTTGCTCTAGGTTTTGAGAGGAATCCAAGTGACTTTATGCTTTCAGACTTCATTTTTCTTATCATTGTGGTGGTGATGGTTGGTGTTCGAAACAGTTTTCTCCGCCTGTTCTTCCCTCTGTTCTGTTGACTCTGAGCAGACTGTGCATTAGGGAATTATTTGCAGCTGCAGCCCAATAACTCACCATGTCGTAGCTCTTTAATTTTTGTGGGGACTGTCCTTTCAGCTATAAGCACTAAGTCGATGGGAATTATTATAGTTATTTAATATTTATGCTGCAGGAGTGCCGGAGGCTCCAGTCAGTTCAAGACTCTTCTGGACAAAGTACTGAGGATACCCAGCAGCAAGCAGAATCGAAGCCTTACTCTATTGAGAGAAAAATAACTCTGTTTGTTTTGTCTCCTTCTATAAGCTAAATTTTTCATTCCTTGTAGAGTATTACTGCAGTTGTCAGATGTGCATATATTTATGTCAACAAATGCACGAAGAGACATTTGTAATGGTAGGGGTTGAGGGGATGTAAGTGGTACCTTTGTTTCAATCAGTTGCAGTAAGTGAGTGAGAGCCTTCACAAACCAGGGATGCCTCCAAAAATGAGCGACAGGGCTCCCTGGGATGGAACGCCAGTGCCAGGACTCTCTGGGAGAGAAGCAGAGAGGGAAGACCCCGAGGAAGCAGCAGACAGTTGCAGAAGCACTGGTGGCATGGCCCAGACTTAACTCTCTGAGCAAGGAAAAGAGCTATTTTACTTGATTTTTGGTTGAAAGAGGTGTGAAGCTGTAAGCAAATTCCATCTCTTCTTGTTTGAGCGTGTGTTCAGGGAAACAGGAGAGTGTGCACCTTGCAGAGATAAACAGGACACATCCAGCTCAACTTCATCCTCAGATCTTTTGTAACCTACGTGCCGGCTAAGTGCTCGCGGCACGGGCAGAAGCAGCCATCAACAACGAGTCCGTTCTTCACTGATCCCCAGGCAGGAGGGCTTGTTCTGCTAGGTGCTGAGCGCCCCGACTCACCGGAGTACATCGTATACTTAAATACACGTACGGGTGAAGGGTATAAGAGGCAGCACCTTCGTAACTAAGAATGGAAAAATCCATTTGATTTTCTAAATCTCTTCTGATCTGAGCAGAAGTGTTCACATAGCCATAGTGATACAGGGATAGACGGGAAGGCTTGCAGGAGAGAGGTACCCTTTCCTTAGACCGGCTGGTACTGCTGAAGAAATCCTGCGTGGTTTGCTGCAGTGTGAGCTGGTTTGGTTGCTTTGTTATAGCCCTAATTTAACAAAATGCCTCTACCAGGTGCCAGTAAAGGTAAGAGACTTAAAGTTTTTTTGCAGATGCTTCCAAACTCTTACAAATTTTGTTGGTAAGTGTTACTTGCTCCTTGCTCTTCGTTGGTGCTCGGAATCTAGGCTACAGGGCTGTGGTTGAAAACGAGATGCAAGATAAAGATAATGAAGATAATGAAGATAAATGGTTTGCTGTCTGCTTCTGTTTTAGGAGGGAGATGTCTGGCCAAATTCTTCGGTTGAAATTAATGTGATCTTTAAACCCCGAGAAGCCAGAGTCTATCAACAAACGGTCTACTGCGACATCTCAGGTACAGCTCCTTTCTCCTGCGTCTGTTACCCACAGTGGAGGCGAGGCACAAATAGAACCAGCCCACTCGGTTCTCGTGTAATTGCTAGGAAGGGTCAGTGGTCAGCAGGGTGGTGCTGGCACATGCCCACGGTCCCTGCAGTTTCCAGGTGGTCTCCTGTCCAAGGCCAGCCCTCAGGATCCCTGGCTACAAGCTTGGATCGCTGATCCCAGAACAACTAAGGCAGTGAAGGGATAAGTTTTCATGCCGTGGGTTTGCCAGTATTTGCTCTGCTGCGAGGTGTCTGTAAAGCCAAAGAGCTACACAGCAGAACAGCTTTAGTAGATGAGCACTAAGCCCCTATAGATCATCTACCTCCAAGTTGAGTCTTTATTACGTGGTTGCATCGTTAGACTCCTGAGGTGGTACAAGCCCAGTTCCAAATGGGCTCCCAGACTCTGGATCACCTCCGGCTACACAGACGCTGCCAGACTTTAAGTGGCCGAGCCCTCCTGAGCACGGGATGTCTGCGAAAGGACCACCTCTGGCCAGCGTGTGCTTCTCTCCCTGCGTGGGAATTGTCACCTTGGGGCTCCTAGTCCGTGGTGCGTACGGGTAGCGTTGCACAGGCCTTGCTGTACTCAGCAGGGTGAACACCCTCCCTGGAAATCAGAGTCTGAGCAGTCCGCTAGAAAAAGCTTTATGCTCATCCAGTCTTACAGAAGTGCTGTCAAGTTTTCTTCTGGGAGCAGTTACCGTTGACCCACCCAAGTTACACCAGCTTTGCCCTTCCAGAGGTGATCGCTTTGCTGTGCTAGCGCGGGGCAGGGAACGCTTGCAGCAAGCTGCGTGGTTCGGGTTACCTTGTCCTTCCTCTGCGTCTCTGCATGGTGCTGCTCAAGGTGTTTTTCAACAGTGGGAGATAGCTGTCAGATTTCCACCCAGGGAACTTTATGGTTTTCCCCATCTAAGAGGAAGAGGTGCAAGACCCGTGGTCCTCCAGCAGCCAGGCTCCTGTTCTGGAGGGTGCTGAAATCGCTAACCCAGCTGCTCTGTTGCTTTCCTTACTGCTCCAAGCTGACAGATACAAATGTCATGAAACAGCTTTTTATTTATACAGTAATTGCGCAGGGTTTACTTGGCAAATGCCACCTACAGTAATTACACAGGGCTTGAGTTAACAAACTGTCTTCCTGCCCACCAGCTGCAGTTGCTGGAGCTGTGGAAGGAAAGGATTGATTTAAAAAGTTGCTCCCGAGGGATTCCTTGCTCAGTGCTGTGCTCCTGGCTCTGGGACTCTTGCTCTGATGATGGGGGTGTCCATCACTTTGCTGCAGGGATCTTCAGCGGTTGTGCCAGGAGAGCTTTTTCATTGCAGAGAAATAGGAAAACTACTTGCATGCAACCCTTGAGCCAGTCTAGGAGCTTTAGGAAACAGCGCTGTGTTTAGAAAGAGGAGCCTGCTCTTGGGAAGACCATGATGGACCCTCGGGAGAACTTAACTCTTCCACTGGCTCCTTGGAAGAGGACCTCAAGGAGATAATTTCAATTATGCACCTACTCCCCATCCCTTACAAAACAGAGCTGATCCACTGTATCGTCAGGGGGTGGAAACTGTCCCAGAGTCAAGGTCCCTGGGTGCAAAAGAGTTTAAAGAAGAAAACAACGATCTTTAGCTAGGGAGTCAATTAATTTTGCTTCTTGATTCCACTAAGAGGCATGACTGCCTTCCTCATGTGCTTGCATGCCAGTCACAGATCCCTTTGGAGGATGGTTTGCAGACAGTGTGCGTCCCTTGCTGGGAATATTTGGAAGCTTTGCCCCGGTGCAGCACTGTGAGTTGTGCGGCTGGATCTCGTGCCCTGCTGGAAAGGGGCTTTGCTGGCCTCCACTTTTTTTGCAGGTGCCTCCATAAATTGCTTAGCAGATGCTTCTGGATCAGGTGGTTTACAGAACTAATCAGCACTGGGCAACTTGCAAAGCTGGCAGTTAAGGAGTGGTTTGAAATTTGCTCTTGGCAAATATTTAAGCTTAAAATGAACTTTCTTAGTTATTCGTGCAAATAAAGCCATGGCTCTTGAGTGCTGGAAGGGAGCACACGGTACGGGGCTCAGACACCTAAAATTCATTTTTAGGTTTGTCTGCACACAGAACTGTATTGGGTTACACCTTGCAAAACCCCTTTCTAAGCCACTCTTGCAGGGAGAAGCAAAATCCCAAATGATGATCGCTCCCTTACCTTGTGACAGAACTGTCCTGCATCATGTAAAACTGTTTATTGTCGTGGTCAGGTGAAAATCACGTTCAAAAACAGTCACAAAACATGGGGACATTCTGTGAACAAGAAACTGAGTGTCAGAAAGCAGAAGTTAAGGACTTTGGCAACGAAGTCTTGTGCTGTTGGGCCACCTACACCCCTATTTATTGGAAAGCAAAGCAGCAATGCCAAGCTGTACACCCTGCATGATGTGCCAAGGTGGTATTCCTACTGAGATCCAAATTCTCGCTCCACGGTACCAGCTGTGGATTTGGGATTGAGGACAAGGAGGCTGTAGCCCCTCCGTGCCCTCGGTCTGTGTGCTCCAGGACATGTTATGGTGGGAGCATCGCAGGGCCACAGCCCCGCTATACCCAGGCCTTGGGCAAAGGCTGGATGTTCCTGAAAGCCCCAGCTCCTAGCAAAGAGGAGGACATACTCTCTTTCTTTAACTCTCAGCTCTCCTGAATGCTGCCTGTAGTTTAGTCTGCTCCTTCTCCTTTGGGAAAAACCCACTCTGAGGTTCACCTGGAAGGAGGAAGAGCAAAATTTCTGGCATTTCCTAAAGTTTCAAGTTCAGTGTAAGGGTAGAAGAAAGGATGGTTTCCATGGACGTTCAGGAGGGGAAGAGGATCTACTGCAGAAGGGGAAGAACTGCCACTGATTTTTTTGATCACAGTGGCCATGGGACATGTCTCAGCATGATCATGGACAAAAGCATGTCACTTGGACATCTTTGCCATTTCCTAAGAGCTTTGATGGCTTAGGCCTAGAGTTTTTAATGAAAATTAAGCCAGACGGGATGCAAGATGGAGAAATCTTTTGACAGTGAGCACCCAATACTGCCTCTTTTATAATATCTGTAAAATAGAAATACCTAGCTCTCCAATTAATGCCTGAGCTGTGAAACATAACTCTCATCTCTGCTATCAGCTGGGCTTTCACTGGATCCACTTAAAAAATGCTGAATTCAACAAAAGCTCCCTAGCTCTTCCTTTCTGGCTTTGGACACTATCAAACGTCCTCATCCCATGGTTGCAAGATCAAAAAGTCAGTAATCATTGAAAAGGCTGTTCCAGGAGAGTTTTTTTTCAAGTTGTGATCTAGTCGCTGTGTTGTCACACCTGGGCTTCTCTTTGCAATAAAAAGTCATTTTGGACATTCTGGAATATCTATGCAGAAGACTTTTTTTTAAAAGCAACCTTCAATCCCTGATCTTTAATAAACGGTGAGCATTGCACAAAAGGAACTTGAAGGAGAGAGGAATGTTTTTGCACAAAAGCTACCGTGAAGGTTCTATACAACTTTTGGGCCTCTCTTTTCTTCCTTGTGCTACTCGCTTTCCGTGCAGAGTAGCATGGGATGGCAGGGAGATCCGAGCCGAAATTCGAGCTAGGATTCAGGCACTTTGGGCTGCTCCAGTGGTTCAGAACAGCCTTCAGCCTGCAAGATCCTGCCCTATGTCATCTTAGCAGATATATGGGAGCAAATTAGCATCTTGGAGTTTGGCTGTAAGCCTTGTGGTCTCAGTTACCTTTGCAGCAGGGGCTGGGTGTATTAGCAGTGTATTTATCGCTTATCTGGTCTCGGTAGTGAGGAGGCTGGCTTTCCATAACTGCTCAGCGTGCTTCAGGTAAGGTGTCTTTACAAGGCTGAGCTCTTGGTATCGTGGTGGGAATGGGTGAGTGCTTCTCTCTGGAGATCATAAAGCCCTGTGTTGTTTAGGCGCTGCTGCCGAAGGTGAGTCCCGGACCACCCCGGTACGGAGCTGTGTGTTGGGCACAGGCGGGGGCTGAGATGCTCTGCCTGCTCTGGGCAGCACTCGACGTGCGTATCGCCGTTATCAGGGAGCTTCGCCTTGCTTGGGCTCCTACCTCTCGGCTCCTGTGCTGTCGTCTCCTGATTGCATCGGTATAGACAGCAGAGTTTTATCTTCGGTTCTGGTTCATGAGCTTTTTGCCTTCACTGAATGGATTTCAGAGCTCATCTAAGTGCACGGGAAGAAATTCAGAGATCATGTTTTAAACTCAGCATCACGTTTTCAGGGTGCAAACTGATTGCTAAATTAGAAACCAGCTCAAGGGGTTGGTTAGAAATTAGAAACCAGCCCAAGGGCATATCTCCTGAGGGAAGAGGAGGGTCCCGTATCTTCTCCTGGAGCATCTAGAGCTGCTCCCATCCAGCCCGGGGGCAGGGACTAGCATTGAGGCAGCCTGGAAAATCCAGGGCAACAGAGGGAATTATTGTACTGAAATGGAAATCTCTCCCTAGGCCGAGAGACCAGGCTGCCCCTGCGCCTCAAAGGGGAAGGCATCGGGCCCCGGCTCCGCTTCAGCTTCGACCAGCTGGACATCGGGAAGGTTTTTGTTGGCTCAGCCCACAGCTATGAGGTGAGCAGAAGGGGCTCGCAGGGGTTGGGGTGGATCCTGGTGGCTCTTGGGGCAGCAGTGAGCCTCGTGGACCTGCGGGATTTCTGGCAACTCAGGCAGCTGTGAGCAGGGGATATTTGAAATAATAATCACATTGGGGGGGTTTCACAGAATCTGCATACTTTTGATGGGGTCTGAAAGGTGTATTGTTCGTGAAGCCCTGATCGCTGCTTTTTGGCAAGCTGCAAAAGGAGGCTTCTTGCAAAAAAAAAAAAACCCTTGATGCACGAAAGCAATACTGGGTCGGAAGGAGAAGTATTCAGAGGCTTTTCTTTCAGCCCTAGGTGCAATGCACCTTTGTACTCTGGCTGTTAAAAAGCAGCTGGAACAAATTTACTGTGTTTGAACTCAAGTCCATTGCAAACAGTTTTCAGTTAAGTGCATCCTACTGATTCCTGGGAGTCAGAGGAAAGCCATATTTTGTTGAACACTCGAGAGATCTACTACCTCGAACAAGTGACACAATCCCGCAGTATTTGTTGAGATTCAGCTCTTTTCATGTTGGGTGAGAAATGCCCACATCTGCCTGTGGGTACCAGCATGCCGTCAGTCACCAGCAAACCCACCCAGAGCAAAGCTGAACTTGGTGCATCTCTGGCTCTATAAAGAGCAAAGCATTTCTTGAAATGAAGCAAAGGACCTTTCTATATATTTGCCTCCCCCCAATGGTGTCAAGTCTTCTTCAAAAAAACCAAGACAGAGCAAGCGAAAGAGGTAGAAAATGAGGCAATACATCATGCCAGACACTTTCAGAAGCTTGGCTGTGGCAGGGAAGGACACATTAAGGTGTTTTCCTACCAAAATATTGTGCTTTCTATGCATTTTTAATGCTGGTACTGTATTGATTCTCTCTATATCAATTTATTATTTTCGTTACTCGAGAAAATGTGAATAAGTAGATGATGCTGTTAATGCTGTCCTAAGCAGCTAGACTGGAGGTAAACCTCTGCTCAGCATAGGATCCTTAAGTGCAATTTGTAACTAAGGTGTAAAACACATGAGAGGAGAGAGTAGTTTTCAAGTTACTGTTGTGGAGTTTGAATATGTGACTATTTTCAACAGCAGCTGCAAAATTAAAAAATAAGGGACATTTCTATGCTTCTGTCTCAGTTTTTCTGACAGGTTTTGCAAGGACAAAAATTAGGGAAAAGAAATCCAAAGCAGATAGGTAAGTCCACGGAAATGACAGGATTTCACCCTGCAGCAATCGGAAACTTTGCAGCTTTGCTCTGGGTAGGTTTGCTGGTGACTGACGGCATGCTGGTACCCACCGGCAGATGTGGGCATTTCCCACCCAACGTGAAAAGAGCTGAATCTCAACAAATACTGCGGGATTGTGTCACTTGTTCGAGGTAGAAGATCTCTCGAGCGTTCAACAAAATATGGCTTGGTTGCAAATTTGCATTTTCTTCTAAATAATGGTAAATTCATAAATGATGGCTGTGAATATTTATGAAAGAGAAACCCAAAAGAACAGGTGGAGCTGCTATGCACCTCACTCTCATCGTTTCTCGACATGCCTGGTTGAGCAAAGACCGAGAAACTATCACATTAAAGAAAAAATAAACGAAACCTAAATTATATACTGTAGCAGAGTTGGGGAGTGCTTCTGAAGTTGGTTATAGTGCTGAACTGAGGTGTCTTCTACATGCAATAAACTTGTTGGCTGCGATGGAAGCTGAACGTGTTCTGCGCTTGGCAGGATCGGACTCATCTGGAGCAGAAGCAGTTGCGTGATGATTCACTAGTAATGCTGCACCCGCCCTTCGGTGCTCTTAGGGACGGGTCTGAATCAACTCGGTGATGCTGAGCACGTCTCTGCACTGCAAGTCGAAGTGGACTGCTCTGTGTCAGGGGAATAAACCCAGAGTGACTCTTTATGTGAGGTTATCACTGCTTTGCATGAAAAAACCCAAAGGCAGAACTTGTCCTGTTGTATTTTCTTTGGCTTCTGCCAAGCAGCAGCACACAGCATCTTCTGCCTTTTACAGATGTTGATTCTTTAATCAGAAAACTAATCAGCCTTCTGTAAGAAAGGAAGATTCCTATGTATTTCTATTTTGCTTTCTTGCTGCTGCAGGCGATCCTGTTTAACAAAGGAGCCATCGATGCTCCCTTCAACTTGGTCCCTCCAGCCACAGCTCTGGGCTCCTGCTTCACCTTTCTCCCCCGGGAGGGCATCATTTTGCCGGACGAGCTCCAAGTCATCCAGATCTCCTTCAGTTCCACCATTCTGGGGCAGTTCACAGAAGAATTTGGGTTCAGTGTGAATGGATCACCTGAGCCTGTGACCTTGACTATCAGGTGAGGAGGATTATAGGAGCTTGGTGGCCACATCTGTAGTTATCTCTGGGTAATCATCTCCCACCTACCTCAGTTTATGATGGAGCAGAGGAAAAAAAGATGTTGTTTAAGGTCTCGGCTCTGATCCTAGCATCCCCACACTAAGAGCCAAGGCTTTTTAACCTTGACTCCAGTTTGAACCTTGCAATTGCAGCAGCAAATGAAGTGTAATTGTCTGCGAGGGGAAATCATAGAATCATAGAACAGTTTGGGTTGGAAGGGACCTTTAAAGGTCATCTAGTCCAACCCCCTGCCCTGGGCAGGGACATCTTCAACTAGATCAGGTTGCTCAGAGCCCCGTCCAACCCGAACTTGAATGTTCCCAGGGAGGGGGCATCGACCATCTCTCTGGGCAACCTGTGCCGGTGTCTCACCACCCTCATTGTAAAAAATTTCTTCCTTTTATCTAGTCTAAATCTCCCCTCTTCTAGTTTAAAACCATTCCCCCTTATCCTGTCGCAACAGGCCCTGCTAAAAAGTCTGTCCCCATCTTTCTTATAAGCCCCCTTTAAGTACTGAAAGGCTGCTGTAAGGTCTCCCTGGAGCCTTCTCTCCTCTAGGCTGAACAACCCCAACTCTCTCAGCCTTTCTTCATAGGAGAGATGTTCCATCCCTCTGATCATTTTGGTGGCCTCCTCTGGACCCGCTCCAACAGGTCCATGTCTGTCCTGTGCTGAGGACCCCAGAGCTGGACGCAGCACTGCAGGGGGGGTTCTTGCCAGAGCAGGGCAGAGGGGCAGAATCCCCTCCCTCGACCTGCTGGCCACCTATGACCATGCCTCCTATGCTCTGAATACCCAGTTTAACTTTCAAAGTCTTGGGTTCCTCTGGAAAGCAGCTTTGCCTTTATTGTTGGGCCAGGGTGGCTCTGTGGCTTTCCAGGACACTTTGCACAGAATTCAGCAGCAGCAGGTTCCTTTTGTGACCCTTTGACATCTCTGAGGACCCCGGGGCTTTAAGTGACTACCCATGCTGGAAAAAAGTTTGACTGGAGGCCGATCAGGAAAGTTGTGGAGATGCCCGCTGCCCAGCCCAGGTACCCAGGAGCTGGAGTGACTCCTTCCTGCAGGTAGCTCATTCCCCCTTGGGCCGTGGCAGACGCTGTGATGGTATCAGCTTTGGGCAGTAGATGGCCTGGGACGTCCCACCTGAAGACACAGGAAGGCCAACAGGGCTTTGGAGATGGGCCAGCCTGGGGGATTCTGCAGCCAGAAGCAGTGTTTTTAAAATCCTCTGTTAATAATCTATACAAAATGGGTAGCAGCAGCCTCAACATCATCTCTCACGCTAATGCGCTGGGACAAGCTGTGCTCCCGGCTCTCGTGCAGCGAGTGCTACGGTTCCTCTGGTCTGCAGCCAGGAAAGTCCTGACATGGGAGACGGGGAGCTCTACAGCAAGTGCTGCCACAAGGACTTGGGCATCATCCCGTGGGCTGGTGCCATTGCAGAAGAGAATCCTCACCGAGCAAAGGGGAGAAGGGGAGGGAAAAAAAATAAAAGCTTGCGGTAGGAGGGGCAAAGCTCACTTCTCAGGACCACAGCAGCATGCGAACTTGTCCCAGCTGGTGTTAACCACGGCCTGGAGGGATAACGTGGTGTAGGCAGGGAGGTTGATGCTGGGTGCTCTGGAGCTTTGGGGCTGGCTGTGCCTCCTCGGCAGCCAGCCTCCTGGGCTGCTGCTGTTGGGAGGCATTAGATCAAGGTAGTAAAGTGATGAAAGGAATCTGCAGTCGATTTTTACCGATAAGGTAAGGGAAATGGATTAAAAAAAAAGAACAACAAGGTTATTACTTTGCAAGACAAGTGGTGAGTAGGGCTGTTGACCTCAGTAGAGAAACAATTATGTTGGCTTTGTGTTTGGAGGGAAAGTGCTGCTTTTTTTGGAAATCAAGAGGGAACATTTCACAATCGAATAATTTATTCTCCTCTGTCCCTCTCCCAAATTGGTCACGGGATGTTATTGCGTAAGCAGTCTTTCTCCTTGAGCAAGGGCAGGTTTCACTTGTGAAGATGCACTTATCACAGGTAGAATGCAGTATTGCTTGGATAGTGCCCACTGCCTCTGCCCCGCGACGGCCTTGTTCCTGGGGAAGGAAACAGCTGTCAGCGGGACAGTTGTCTTCTGGCTTCCCCACAACCAAATGACATGGTCCTTTTTGGCCCACGGATGCCCTGGCTACCAGTGCCCAGCACGTCCTCCCCTTCTCCGTGGCCACTCTCTGCCCTGTTCTGCCAGCACCGCCCTGGGCTCAGTGCAGACCGTGTATCTCAGTGAAAGAGGATCGCTGGTCCTTTTTTTACTTAGTTCTTCCCCATCCTTGCACTTCTCCTTCCTGGATGGTGGCTCCTATGCTGCCCATCTGATGGTACCTCAGCATCCCCACCTGCTCCATACAGCGTCCCTCAGCAGTAACTCCCATGGCAGTCCACTGAGATGGCATCTGCCTCCTTGATTTCTGTCTCGCCTTTTCCAAGGATCCCTCTCCAGCCCTTATCTCTCATTCTCCAGCCCCGCAACTCAAGCTGTTTGTTTTCAAACTCCTGCAAGATGTCCACCCGCCGGGTCAAGCTGAGCCTCCCTCTTCGGGAGGTTTTGGGCACTGGATTTAGGTCTCCATGGAGAAAAACCTCCCAGTTCTTTTGAATGGAGGCGAGCTGGCTGGTGGGACACTGGGCTGCAAAGGAAGGAACGGGGATGAGCATTCAAGTGGTTCCTCTCCCACCTTGTGTTATCCTTCCTGCTCTGCAAGGACCCTGATCTCCCTTCACAAATGCATTATTTAACGCTGCTGTAAAACACAGTTGTTGCCAAAACCACTGCGTTTTCCCCCATTTTCTTGCAAGCTGTGCTGTTATCAGCTGTGGTGCACAGAGCTCTGGGTTGGCTCCTTGCCTGAGCCTTCTGGGCAGTCATTCAGGTTTAACTTACCTGAGCACAGATTCGGGGCGCTCAGCAGAAATGGCAGTCATTTCCCCACTTGCCTGGCAAGGCTCATCCTTGGCAGTTTCTCAACGTGATCCCCGGTCATGGTTGGTTTGGAGGTAGTTTTCCATCATCTCCTGGCAAGTGCTGTGATGGAAAGGATGTCTGCTCCCTTTGCTCTGTCCGAAGTAAGCTGTTGGGGCTTGGGAGGTTAGGTCTGATTATGTGAGGTCCTTGGAGAGGGAACTTCACCAGCAGCAGGGATTTGCTACCTGCCTTACTCTCGGGAACTGATTCAGCTCCAAGAATGGAGAATTAGCGTTGAATTGAAACACCTGAAAGTCAGTTTTTGAGTGCTTTTTGACTACGCAATCTGAAGATGCCCAGACCATAGGTGATTATTCTTTACTTGGAAACCAACCTTGCAAGGTCCTGAATGCTTGTTTCTGTGGTGTTTAGAAAGGGGTGCTGGAAATGGGACACCACGGATGTATGCAGGTCCCTCCTGCGGGATGCTGGGGTCTGATCCTGTGCAGAACAGACCCAGTGGCAGTCCTGCGAATAAAACTAGAAGGCACGGTTCACTGTGGTCCTTGATTTTTAACTAAGAGGCAGAGCTGGTATTCATTGGCATCAACCATGAAATAAATTAATGAATGTTGTGCAGCTCCAAGTGCTGATTTCAGTGGATGTTGGTGAGTTTTGGAGTTTGGAGAACTGGCTGCTGAATTTAAGGACAGGTGAGGAGGTGTGGAGGGTTCAGGACACCCATGTTCGGTGGTTTAAGGTGTGTGTTGCTCTTGGATGTGTCAGCTGGTGCACTGGTGACAAGCTGATACTTCTCTCCAAGGTTCAGCTGTCCACTCTGTAGAACTCTTGCCGCTCTTGTTGCAGTCAGTGGGTGTCTGGGTGCTCCCCTGGATTCATGCCTCAAAATCCTGCATGCCTAATGGTTGCGTGGATCAAGATCTTCTGAGGAAAAGATGTTCATATACTCCATGGAAACACCAGTTCCAGCTAAGAAATACCAAAGCAGGGAACCTGCAGCTGGGAAGGCTAGACACAATGAGCCTCTGTGCCCATCACATTGCAGATGGGGAAACTGAGGCACGGAGCCATCACTTGTTCAGGGTCCTTCATTGGGCCAGCAGCAACCTGGGGACATACCCTTGGCCCCCTGCCTTGACATGGTGCCCTAAGCAGCTATCAGCTTCTACCACTTGGCTTTGGCTGCCTCCTGCCCACATGGATGCCGTGCTGGGCACGAGGGTGACGGGTTGATTTGAAACCCAGTGTGGTTCAGAGACCAGCTTTTATCCATCCGAGCCGTAACGAAAGCTGAACGCTTTGCACTTCTCTAACCAAGCCGATGTCTCCTCTGCCTGTCTTTGTCCTCACAGGGGCTGTGTCATCGGACCGACTTTTCACTTCAACGTACCTTCCCTCTGCTTTGGTGACGTCTCCTTTGGTGAGTGTGCCCTGGGCTTGGACCAGAGGTTGAGAGGTCTGTGCATTACCAAAATGGAGCACTTTAACATACGAGCATCTGTCACTTGTGTTCCTCCATAGCAAGCCTTCAGGGTGTTAAAACCAGGGCTGCTTCTCCTTGGCAGCAGAATGACTGTGCAAGTCCTTGTCCCAGAGAGGCCCAGGGGACGGGACTGCAGGAGAAGGGAGTTTAAGCCACGTACTGGCCCGTAGCTGCTCTGGGTAAATGTTCCTGCTGCAAGGCAAGGACACCATTTACCCACCTGACCTTTAGTGTGAGATGTTAATTAGTGCTGTGAGGCCACCTCATTATCACCTGCCAGGTAATATGCCCAAGCAATAGCTCTGCATCAGGCGCTGGTGTCCTCAGAGATGTGGGCTCCTTCTCCTTCCCCGCCGAAAGCCCAGCTCTGCTGACGGAGCCGGTGGCTGAGCATCCAGAGCGTCTCCATTGAAATGCAGATTCTGGTTCTCCATCTCCCTCTCACAAAAGGCTTTTTACTGAGATGATCTAAAGTTTAAATGTGAAATCAATTGTGGATTGATTGAAGGGCCATTATCATTCTGTGCCCAGGATGCCTCTGTGTTTTCATGCTGTTCATGGACTTTTTAAGAAAACTCGTTACCTTTCCTGAGCCGCTTCCTCCGCTCCCTACATCACCACTCTGCCACTTCTTTGTTTCCTTTTGAATAAATAAAACAACAAGAAACGCACCAGGCAGAAATATGGTTGTGTAATAGGAGATTCATCCCACTTAATCCGATTTCATTAATAAGGCCTTTTCAGCTGAAGGCAGCTATTGTATTTTTTGCCTTTTAACTGTGCTGCTCACTGTTGTCTGTGCCTGGCGACGTCGGTCTCATTTGGGATCGTGAAGTCTCTGTTTGGCCTTTTTGTGTACCTCCTGCCTCCCCGCTGGAGCAGTTGCCAGAGGTGGGCAGCGGTCGCTGCGGATGGGCATGGAGAGACCACCTGCAGTGTCTGCAGGTGGCTTTCCTCCCCATCTGTATTCAAATAACGCTTGGTGAGCTTGGGAGATGTTTCCTTCTCGCAGAGCTGGCCAGCCAAGCCAGATGTCCGCTCCAGAGCAGGTTGTGGGCTGATGTCTCTGCAGAACATCCCCACCGGGTGCGGTTGTATCACTGGTGCGTAACGGAAAGTTAGTGTGAAAGCTAAAGTGATGTAAACCTTTGTGGGCAGTAATCAAAGCCAGTGTGGAGCGTGGGTGTGATGTCCCCGTTTGTTAGATAAGGTGAGGCACGGTTCCTGC